GATCATTCTCTTGTCTGGGAATAAAGCTAGCCACACAGACCGGGACAGGCAGAGCAGTCTCTGAGGTCCCAGCTGACAGCAGCCCCCACTGGAGAAGGAGACGGCTTCTCCCTGTCAGCACAGCAGAAGACCCCAGGGTCTCCATCACATGCTCAGTTCCTAACACCCTCCCCGTGGATGTGACTGTGAGATGATCACAAGGTTCAGAGACATGGACCAAGGTACTGGTCCATGGACCAAGGTACTTGCTCTTTTCTTCCTAACTACACCATCAGGAGCAATTCCTTGAAGCCCTCTGAATTCGGTGTCATGTAGGGAAACAGGAAGTAAGACCAGAAAAGTCAATTGGAGCAAATGTGAAGGGACCAGTTTGCTGCGCACAGAACACACTGGCTGCCCTTCTCTGATAATTCTCTCTCTCGTTACCTTGATTGACCAGCATAAACATATGGGAGGCACTCGGCAGAACTCAGCCCCAACTGCACCCCTCTGGGGTCTCTGGTGATGTCAACCAAGCCAGGCTTGAAGAGTCATCTACCAGAAGTTAAGGCATATTTCCCTGGAGGGGCATTGGTCTTCTGGAAGAATCCTTGTTCATCTCAGTGATGATCTTGCCAAGATCCTGGCAAGCTGATGGAACACGGCAGGCAGAGCCCTATTGTGGTTTTTTTTTTTTTAATCAAAATAATTTATTAGGCTTAGTTTTGTTTTTTAACAGCTTTATTGATATATAACTGACATTCAATAAATTGAACATATTAAAGTGTACAATAAGAAGCTTGGACAAACGTGGCTGTGAATAATGTCCATGATCCCCAGAAACAGTGAAGTTGTTTTTGGACACAGTAGAAGGGAGTTTGCACATGTGTTTAAACATAAGGATCCTGAGATGGAGAGGGAATCCTGGATTATTCAGGTGGGACCAGTGTAGTCATAGGGTTTTCCTAAGGGGAAGGTTCAGTTCAGTTCAGTCACTCAGTCGTGTCCGACTCTTTGTGACCCCATGGACTGAAGCATGCCAGGCTTCCCTGTCCATCACCAACTCCCGGAGTTTACTCAAACTCATGTCCATTGAGTCGGTGATGCCATCCAACCATCTCACCCTCTGTCGTCCCCTTCTCCTCCTGCCTTCAATCTTTCCCAGCATCAGGGTCTTTTCCAAGGAGTCAGTTCTTCGCATCAGGTGGCCAAAGGATTGGAGTTTCAGCTTCAGCATCAGTCCTTCCAAAGAATATTCAGGAAACTGATTTCCTTTAGGACTGACTGGTTGGATCTTCCTGCAGTCCAAGGGACTCTCGCGGGAAGGTGGGAAGACCAAAATTAGAAGATGAGGTGATGGAGCCATAAACTGAGGAATGAGACCAGCCTCCATACACTGGAAGAGGCCAGAAGACTGATTATCTCCTAGAGCCTCAAGAGAAACAGTCTTGCCAACACCTTGATTTTAGTCCTGTAAGACTCATTTCACACTCCTGATCTCCAGGACTATAAAAGAATACACTGACGCCCCTAGTTTTGTGGTAATTTGTTACAGCAGCAATAGGAAACTCACACAGTGTATATATCCAGGAAACCACTGACATCCATTATCTGCTCTCAGTCACTATAGATTAATTTACATTTTCTAGAATTTCATACACATGGAATCATATCCTATTTTCTCTTTTCTGATTGACTTCTTCCATTCAGCATAAGTATGCTAATATTAATCCATGTTTTTGCCTGTATCAATAGCTTATTCCTTTTACTGCAGAGTCATATTCTAATAAATACACCAAAATGTGTTTATCCAGTAACCTGTTGGTGGCCAGTTGCATTATTTCCTTTTTCGTTCCTTTTCTTCTTTTTTTAGTCATTTCTCTCTACCCATTTCACCTCAGATAATAGATTCCTTTATTTATTTAAATAAAATAAATTTTTATTTTATTTTTATTTTATGTGCTGGCTCTTCGTTGCTGTGTGCGGGCTTTCTCTAGTTGCAGTGAGCAGGAACCACTCTTCGACATGGTGCGCAGGCTTCGCATTGCAGTGGCCTCTCCACTTTCAGCGCACAGGCTCTAAGCACACAGGTTTCAGAAGCTGTAGCGCTCAAGCTCAGCAGTTGTGGCACACGGGCTTTAGTTGCCCACAACATGTGGGATCTTCCTGGACCAGGGACTGAACCCTTGTCCCTGCATTGGCAGGCAGATTCTTATCCACTGTACCACCGTGGAAGTCCACATTATTTCCTTTTTTGACTAGTATAAACAAAATTGCTATAGTCACGTGCAAATCTTTGGATGATGTGATGGGTTGATTTTTGTCCCCCAATAAAGGGTATGCTAAAGTCCTAATCCCCAGAACTGATCCCCAGAATGACTTTATCTAGAAGGATCATTGCAAATGGAAAGATGAGCCCCCCAAGAGCAGGCGGGCCCCTAATCCATTGTGACCAGTGTCCTTATATGAAGCAGCCATATGAAGACAGAGGCCCGGGGAGGACTCCTTCTGACAGTGAGAGCAGAGACTGGAGTTATGCAGCTGCAAGCCCAGGAACACCTAAGAGTCCCAACAAATCACAGGGAGCTAAGAAGAGGCGGGCGAGGAAGGATTCCCGTCCAGTTTTCAGAGGGAGGCTGGCCCTGCCAACACCTTGATCTCAGATTCTAACCTCCAGAAATATGCGATGTTTCTGTCGGTTCTAAGCCACCCAGTTTGTAGTTCTTTGTTATGGCAGCCCTGGGAAACTAATACAGACGGACAGACGCTTTCATTTTTCTTGAGTAAATACCTAGGAGTGGATAAGCTGGATCACATGGTAAATGCAGCCTTAATTGTTTAAGAAACTGCCAAACTGTTGCCTCAAGTGGTTGTATCTTTCTTGATTCCCACCAGCACAGCCGGGGAGTTTCAATGTGTCCACCTCTTTGTCAACCCTTGGTATAAACAGTCTTTATCATTGTAACCGCTCTAACGGGAATAGAATGGTACCCAGTCTGGCTTTCTTTGCATTGCCCACATGACTAATGATGGTGAGCGTCCTCTTTAGTGAAGTCTGTGCTAAAAGCGTTTGCCTATTTTTTAATGTTCATTTTTTTCGATGCGGAGTTTGAGGGTTCTTTATATATTCTAGATAGAAGTCCTTTATTAAATATATGCTTTACAAACACTCTCTCCCACATTCATGGCTCGTCTTTTCATTTTCTAAATGGGGTCTTTCAAGGAGAAGAAGCTATTGATTTTGGTGAGGTCCAAGGTGAGACCTTTCCAAGTACTCGCCCCAGTGCTCCAGGTACCAGGAGATTTTCCAATCTATCTGGTGCAAGTAGGCAGGACTCCCAGCCCTGTGTGGGTGCTGGCACTGTTAGTTCCAGTCCTCTCATGGGGCTCTTGCCTTGGCCTTGTGTAGATTCCTACTCGGCTAAGTACACAAAGGAAGCCTCTGCGGTCTCCAGACCGCTCTCTATGCGGCTCTCTCCTCTCGTTCTCTGTGCCGTGACCACCAGCCCTGGGAACCTGTGCTCCGCAGATGCTCAGCTCCGGTCCTCCCTCCAGGAGTCCAGCCTGGGGCTGCCCTTTCCTGCCCCTGGAACTTTCTCAAGGCAGCAACTGGAGGCAACCACAGGGCTCACCTCCTTTGTTTCTCATCTCACAGCGACTGCTGGTTTTCATCGCCTATTGTCCAATTTCATACGTTTTTGTCTGACATTTCAGCAGTTCTAGATGAGGGAGTAAATCCAGTCTCTCTCTCTCTCCATCTCAGCAGAAAGCAGAAATCTGTCCTGTGTTGCCATCCATGCCAGTACACGCTTCTAGGACAGAAGTGCAGAGGCAGACCCTGCTTTGTGTCCTGGATGGGAAGGCCAGGGAGCACACAGCCCCCTAAATATCCCTAGGCAGTTTCCATCACTGGGATCCGAGGGTCGGTGATACAGGGACCCAGCTTGCCTTTTAGTTCCTCAGTGAAAACCCAGGACTTCTCGGTGGCCCAGTGGTTGCAACTTCGCCTTCCAATGCAGAGGGCACGGGTTCGATCCCTTGATCAGGGAATTAAAATCCACATGCCGTGTGGTGCGGCCAAAACAATAAAATGAAATGAAATAATACAGGCCAGTTCAAAAAAAAAAAGAAAGAAAGAAAACCCAGCAAAACAAACACTTCTTCCATCCCATGCAGGGGTAAAAACCATTAGTGGACTCCCATATTTCACCTCTGGATAGCCAGTGTCAGAGGAACAGGGGTGAGAAAGTGAAAGTGAAGTCGCTCAGTTGTGTCCGACTCTTCGTGACCCCATGGACTGCAGCCTACCAGGCTCCTCCGTCCTTGGGATTTTCCAGGCAAGAGTACTGGAGTGGGTTGCCATTGCCTTCTGGGAAGCTTGATCATTAAACTGCTCAATCTTTGGGAACTGCGTGGGATATTTCTATTGCAAGTTGAGATCACTGCCAACAGCCTTATCTCCGAGGAGAGGGGCTCACCCAGGGGGTAAAGTGGACCTGGGGAGGCTCTACCCTTTTTATGTTCTTACCTGGGACCCCTGTAACAAAAACAGATTACCAGAGAAAAGCATACAGGTGTATTCAATCTAAGTTTTACACGACATGGGAGCTTTCCTAAGGAAATAAAGACCCGGGGAGATGTTTAAACCTGAGTATTTTTGTGCCTGGTTTGCTGAAGAGTGAACAATCCTGGGACGATAAGAACAAAAGAAGAAGGAAACCAAGAAAGACCTGTTCATTCAAATTCCTCTGTGTCCCCACGTTGTCCTCTTCAGAGATAACGATTCGCCTTTCCTCCGGGTACCAGTGAGGCACCTGTCATAGGAGGTTTGATGGCCTAATTCAGGCGAAGGTCTTCGTGCACACATCATTTTTCACGTTCCCTCAACTGGAAGTAGTCTACTTGCCAAAGTGCCCCTCTGGAGGGGGCTGTGTCCTGAACCCTGTCAGAGGCCAAGGCTGAGCTGACCCGCCAAGGTTCAAGATCCTTCTCTGAAGCTGGCTCTGTCTGTTAGACTGATGCTAACTCCTATGGGGACTTGGAGGGCAACATCCCAGAACGCTAGTGTCCTTGTCAAGAGTCCAAGGGCACCTGGACACAAAAGCTTTGGGAGTCCATTTCGTGGGAAGAAAAGGACCCTGGAGCTTTTTCTTGCCCCTCCAAGAGGAGACTTGTTGATAAGCTTTCTCATTTTCCAGCCCACGGGGCTTCACCTTGGCGCACCCCCGCCCTAGGAAAGCTGAGTGGGAAACGCTGACAGCACTGGCCAGGGTGATGCACCTTGTTCTCCTCCTACATGTCCTCACCACAAACACACACATGTGCACACGTGCACACACATGCACTCATGCCAATGCGCACACACACACACACAGTGTTGCACCTTGAGCCCAAGGTTCCCTTCCGCAGCAGCCTGTGCCTTAAGACAGGGAAGTGAGGAGGAGGAAGACACCCGGGTTTCATATTTCTGAGAGATGGAGTTGGAGCAAAAGCCAGAGATGCCGGTGTTCTGGCGGGCCTCCCTCAGAGAACACCCACAGCTCTGAAAGCTTCGTCAATAGCCCATTGTTTGCCGTGAACTGAAGATGATAAGAGAGTGGAGGAACTCAGTCTAGAAGGCTAAGAGGCAGGCAGCTACTATCTTAGATCTGCAGCAGGCAGGCTCCTGCCAAAGTGTTTGCCATTCAAAGGCAGACTTGTCTGGAGATGGGAAATCTACATTCCCGTGCCCCTCCTCCTCCCCCCTCCCCCTCTCTCCTCTCCCCCTCCTCTGGTCCCCTCCCATCCTTTCTTCCTCTCTCCCCTGGTAGCGCTTCTGGCTGCCCTGTCCTGGGATCAGGACCCTCGTCCTTTCAGAGAGCTGAGTTCCAGCATCTTCTAGATGAAGATGCTACTGGATGATGGAAGCCCGAGAAAAGGAGATGGCCTTGGGCAGGTTGACCCACCTCCCTGGGCCTCATACCCATAAAGCAGAAAGCTTTTTTTTTTTTACATGTTTATAGAAGGCATTTTCAGCACTAGGCTAGATGTCATCAAGAGTCCCTTCCAGTGCTCAGGAATGCTTCCGTATCTTTCTGAATCCCAGAAAAGAGATTGTGAGGAATCAACTCTGAGTCAGAAGCCAGCCTTGCATTCGTCATGAGGATTCTCCATCATTTTCCCCACTGAAACAGAATCAGTAGCCTGCTTGCTGGCATAAACCCTTCTCACCTCGGATGGAGGGAGGATGGATCACAAGGCTGTAGGCAGCTCAGCAAAGCCCCACCGACAGTCACCCACAGCACAAACTCTAAATGCAGCTTCCCTGAAAAGAAGTCTCAGTCTTTAAAAAAAAAAAAAATTATAATTGGAAGTCTTTGTGAGATAGACTGACTCTGTCAAGTCAATGTGGAGCCAGGCAAAAAACCCTGGGTCTGAGGAGGAGGCGGATGAAACTGTGAGGATGAAGGAGCAGATGGAAGGTGCCCGAGCCCTCCCTTGGTTTCTCTCCCAAGACCCAAGATGCTGGGAGACAGGGGGAGGCATGGGTGGTCTGAAGCCACCTCAAGGGGCTCAGGGCGGTGTCTGCTCAAGTCTTTCATCTCTGTGCTGAAAACCAGAAGCTAGCCATGTCCGGACCTGGAGGCAGGGCACCGCAGAGAGAGGTAGAGAGAGAGCCAGGGAGAACCTGGTGTTCGAGGACCTGAGGGACCAAGAACAGGGAACAGGGGACGGGAGGGGCTGCGATGAGGGAAGCCAGCGAGGCCGGGTTGGTGGGAGAGGCGGGTTCTGAGGCTCAGGTAAGGGGTCCAGGAGTGTATGTGTGCTTTTAAGTGAACAGGGTTAACATGATCAGACGCATTTCAAAGTTCATGCGTGGGACTTCTCAGGTTGTTCAGTAGCTAAGACTCCAAGCTCCCAATGCAGGGGGCCTAGGTTCAACCCCTGATCAGGGAACTAGATCCCACATGCAGCAATTAAGACCTGGCACGGTCAAATAATTTTTTTAAAGGCTTTTCTTGGGGACTAGAATGACCAAGTAAGAAACTGCAAAATAAACCAGGAAGAAAGTAAAGATGACTGGGGTGGGTTGGTGTGTGGTGGTATGTGTGTGCTCAGTCATGTCCCTTTGTGACCCCATGGCCTGTCACCACAAGGCTCCTCTGTCCATGGGATTTTCCAGGCAAGAATACTGGAGTGGGTTGCCATTTCCTTCTCCAGGGGATCTTCCTGTCCCAGGAGGTAAAGATGACTGAGGTTAGGGTGGTGCTGACAGATAAACTGAGACAAATTAAAAATCTTAAGAGTTAACTTTGGCAAAAATCTACTTGAAGTGGGCAGGGCCAAAGCAGAAGTGGTTTGGAGTGGCTCTTAGGAAGGAACTGGAGATAGACTTTTACAGAAGAAAAACCGGAAGCAAAGCAAGAGGATTATTTGATTGACTCCAGCTTAAAGCCTGGGTGGCTGTTTGTGATGGGTGGTCCTTAGTGCTTTGATTCTGCAACCTGGAGGCATTTACAGACCTAGATTTAGGCTGCCAGGCATTAGGGTTTTCTCAGTCTAACAACTTCCTTGTTTAGTTAATTTAACAGTAGCTGCAATGGCAGTGGGGACCAGAGGTCCTATCTGGGCAATACTGTGAAAATAGTTAAAACACTGTATTGGTAGGAAAGCTATGACAAACCTAGACAGTGTGTTGAAAAGCAGAACATCACTCTGCCAACAAAGGTCCGTATAGTCAAGGCTATGGTCTTCCCATTTCTAAGAGAGGGACCGTAAAGAAGGCCGAACGCCAAAGAATTGATGCATTCGAACAGTGGTGCTGAAGAAGAGTCCTGAGAATCCCTTGGGCACCGAGGAGCTCAAACCAGTCAATTTTTTCTTTTCCATTTATTTTTATTAGTTGGAGGCTAATTACTTTACAACATTGCAGTGGTTTTTGTCATACATTGAAATGAATTAGCCATGGATTTACATGTATTCCCCATCCCGGTCCCCCCTCCCACCTCCCTCTCCACCCCATCCCTCTGGGTCTTCCCAGTGCACCAGGCCCGAGCACTTGTCTCATGCATCCAACCTGGGCTGGTGATCTCTTTCACCCTAGATATACATGTTTCGATGCTCTTCTCTTGAAACATCCCACCCTCGCCTTCTCCCACAGAGTCCACAAGTCTGTTCTATACATCTGAGTCTCTTTTTCTGTTTTGCATATAGGGTTATCGTTACCATCTTTCTAAATTCCATATATATGTGTTAGTATACTGTAATGGTCTTTATCTTTCTGGCTTACTTCGCTCTGTATAATGGGCTCCAGTTTCATCCATCTCATTAGAACTGATTCAAATGAATTCTTTTTAATGGCTGAGTAATATTCCATGGTGTATATGTACCACAGCTTCCTCATCCATTCATCTGCTGATGGGCATCTAGGTTGCTTCCATGTCCTGGCTATTATAAACAGTGCTGCGATGAACATTGGGGTGCACATGTCTCTTTCAGATCTGGTTTCCTCAGTGTGTATGCCTAGAAGTGGTATTGCTGGGTCACATGGCAGTTCTATTTCCAGCTTTTTAAGGAATCTCCACACTATTTTCCATAGAGGCTGTACTAATTTGCATTCCCACCAACAGTGTAAGAGGGTTCCCTTTTCTCCACACCCTCTCCAGCATTTATTGCTTGTAGACTTTTGGATAGCAGCCATCCTGACCAAACCAGTCAATTTTAAAGGAAATCAAACCTGAATAGTTACTGGAAGGACTGACGAAGCTGAAGCTCCAGTATTTTGGTCACCTGATATGAACAGTTGACTCATTGGAAAAGTTCCTGATGCTTGAAAAGATTGAGGGAAGAAGGAGAAGAGGGTATCAGAGGATGAGATGGCTGGATGGCATCACAGATGCAATGGACATGAACTTGGGCAAACTCCGGGAGATGGTAAGGGACAGGGAGACCTGGCATGCTGCAGTCCATGAGGTCACAAAGAGTTGGACATGACTGGGTGACTGAACAACAATGTAGTCTATTTAAAAGTTAAGAGAGTAAACATTAACAACAAAAGTTAAGAAAGTAGGGACTTCCATAGTGGTCCAGTGGCTAAGACTCCACATGCCAATGCAGGAGGCCAGGTTTGATCCCTGGTCAGGGAACTAGATCCAACATGCCACAACGAAGATTGAAGATCCCTTGTGCTGTAACCAAGACCTGGCACAGCCAAATAAATAAAATTTTAAAAATAATTTTTAAAATTTTAAAATTAAGAGAAAAGTGAAAGAGTTAGTCTCTCAGTAGGGGTCTGACTCTGCAACCCGAAGGACTGTAGTCCACCAGGTTCCTCTGCCCATGAGATTCTCCAGACAAGAATACTGGAGTGGGTTGCCATTCCCTTCTCCAGACAGTCTTTCTGACCCAGGGATTGAACCCAGGGCTCCTGCAATTGCAGGCGGATCCTTTACATCTGAGCCATCAGAGAAGCTCTAAGTTAAGAGAGTAGATCTTAAATATTCTCATCACACACACAAAAATTCTGTAACTATGTGAGGCGAAGGATGTAAACTTACTGTGGTGATCACTTCATAATATATACACATATCAAACCACTATGCCATACACCTTAAACTAATATAAAGCTGTATGTCAATTATATTGCAATCAAACTGGAAATTTCTAAATAAAATAACTAAAAAAAGAAAGGAGAGCCACTAAAACTTGCTAGTTGGTTGGATATGGTGGAGATGAACTCAGGAACAAAGAAGCCATTTGGGAAGGGGCTGAACAATTGGGTGAAGGAAGAATTACTGCCTGAAAAAGGAGACAGGACAGTTGGGGCCAAGAATCTTGAGCTGTTTGACACCTACAGTGAGTAAGCGTCCTGTTACCCTTCCAGGTGGAAGGGTCGGTAGACAGGTCTGGGAGTCTGGAATGGGTCAGGCTGGAGCATCACGCAAAAGTATTGATTGGGAGTTCGGGACTGACATGTACATACTGCTAACTTTAAAATAGATACCCAGTAAGGACCTACTGTGTAACGCAGGGGCTCTGCTCAGTATTCTATAATAACCTAAGTGGGAAAAGAATTTGAAAAAGAATGGATAAGGGGCTTCCGAGGTGGCTCAGTGGTACAGAATTCGCCTGCCAATGCAGGAGACACGGGTTCGATCCCTGGATCGGTAAGATCCCCTAGAGAGGGAAATGGCAACCCACTTTAGTATTCTCGCCTGGGAAATCCCATGGACAGAGGAGCCTGGTGGGCTACAGTCCATGGGGTCACAAAAGAGTCGGACACGACTAAGCAGTGAAACAACTGTTGCTTAATGTATGTGAACTGGTATGGTGCTTACTTTGT